ATTTCAAATTAATTGTTCCACTTTTTATTGATATGTTACACACAATCCGTACGTGAGTTTGAGGACCTGATGCAGGAACTGAGACACATGAATTCTGAGGGCTTCAACTATCTTCCTAGAATCCCAAAGGATAAATAACTTTAATCATTTGATGGGGGTAGACGGTATGGTCACATGACAACGAACTTGGCTGAGGCAACATATTATCGACTGACAACCCTTCTTGCAATCTTGGGAAGGTAAGCAGCTGACTGGATGGTAGGCAGCCACCAAATCCACTCAAACCACCTCAGAAAATTGCAAACATTCTAGCATTATTCCAACGTGATGAGTGTCATATGTTTCTCTCACGAAATGTCATTATTCTATGTATCAGAATTTACGAGGCTATTGTAAAGTATACAACACAACGCATATGTGGTTAATTTACGAGGAAAAACATGCGAGTGTGGATTCTTCCAAACTTTCAAATACTCGTGTACGCACACTATTACTGATGTTTTTTTGTTCGGATACCCTACATGAGATTCATTGATCAGGTTTACTTACTTGAAACTATACTCAAGGTTTATGAATATGAGTTCCCTCCCATTGGAAATGAATGAGATCCAGATGAAGCTGATGATGAACCTACAATACGGCCATATTATGCACTACGATGAAAAAAAGGTCGTCCATGATCAACCCGTATTTTTTGTGATGAGAATTTGGTCGAACATCATAAAAGAACCGAAAAACCGAAATTATGCTTTATATGTAAAAATCTCGAACACACGAAGAACAAATGTCTCAATCGCTCAGGCCCAAGTATCAATTAACTAGGTTTTTTGCATTATTTCTTTTTAAACACATATTATTTATATTTACAAGCTAGAAATAACAGTCTAATATGTCTATCAAACCATTTCTTTTCTTCTTTCTTCACACAACCATGATTTCTAACCATTTCCAACGCCATTTTTACCCCGCTTAAAATGTCTTATATATGTTGATATTACAGTCACCTTAAAGAAAAATTACAACACTACGCGTTTGTAATTAAAAACAATTAAAAAATTCAATTTCCCACCCAGAAATAGTGTCCGAACAAGGCTATGGACACTAAAGAGAGGGAAAGGAATCCATTGTCCTCACGATTTGCATGCCGCGAGGTCCTTCATAAATCTCGTGATATTTTGGATTATAAAGGCTACCTCGCGCTTCGCAATGCGCAATGTCATTTTATCCAATTGTTTTATTGCCTTACCTGGAAAGTGCGCCCATGTCGAATGTATCTCGCGTGTTGGAAAGTGCAAGGATTTAACACGCAGTTTGCAGGTCGCGAGGTCATTCAATGTGGACGCTTTGGGAGTTATTCTTTCAAATAATGTTTGGAGGGTCATATTTTTTTAAATAATTATTTAATTGGGGTTTTAATATAAAATTGCCCAATATAATCTTTAAATTAAGAAAACCAAATAATATGATTTTTAATTAATAAAATAAAATACTAGTCCTATCAAATCTGTTGATTGTTAACTTTTTGCGGTCAATTTTTTTTAATTTTAATTCATTATTATTAAAATTTATTATATATATATATATATTAGAAATCTTAAATCAAACTATTCTTAAATATATTTTTATAAAATTTAATTGTTCAAAATAATTAAAATAATTATTGTTAAAATTTAAAATTTTAACTCTTAAGAAATCAATAAAGAATACTTTTAATGGAACAAAAGAAATAATTATTATGATATTGACATAACATTTCATAATCTTTCATAATTTAAGGTAATAAAGAATATTGAAATGGTGACTATATGGAACACTTTCTCAGATTTTGGTGCCATTTAGGTGAACCAATAAATTAGGCCCCTAATCAGGTGTTTAAATTACAATTTGCATTTGTATTTTTAGTTGTGTTCCATTTATCACTATTGTAGACACAACGGATATCATTACGGTCACTGCAAGTATCATGATTGTGAATTTTTAATAACATATCCTATTGTAGATATATCGGTTTCGAACGATATCGTTACTACTGCATAACGGTCACTGTCGTTGTTACAAACTGATATTTAAGTAATTATTCCTAATAGCAAGTGTTGAAAAAAAATTAAAGACAACTCCATAATAACAAGTATTAAAATAATAGATCCCAAATAACAAATATTAAAAAATAAATTATAAGAGTATGCACGTAATAATAAATACTAAAAAATTAGACCTCTAATAAAAAGTATTAAAAAAGTTGAACTCATAGAAAATTGAATTTTAAAAATATGTTCGTAATAACAAATATTAAAAAAATGAACCCCTGATAATAAATATTAGAAAAATTAAGCCTTTAATAACAAATGTGAGAAAATTATTGACAAAAAGTTGAACACTTACCAATATTAAAAAAAATAAACCCCTTATAATAAATTTTAGAAATTACTTTCTACTAATATAATATAATATAATATAATATAATATAATATAATATAATATAATATAAAAATTTTGGACCTTGAATAGGTGTCCCTACCCAGGTCCAGACTCTGCACATATATGCCCATTTTATGAACTTTTATTCACGCCTCATATACACCTATATAATATAGTGGTTATATGAATCTTAAACTATCGAATATAGGCCATCATTTTACAAGTGTGGTACCACTTGGGTTATTATTAAAAGAAAGATTCTTTTAAAAATGATACAATACACAATTTTCTTAAAATATTAATAAAAATATGAAAATTTAATATAACAAAACAAAACTTTTAATTAAATGTGATGTATGGTAGGGTAGGTCGAGAGGTTGGGTATTCTTTTTCGTAGGGACCATGAAGATAAAGGCTCCAATTAACCCCAATAATTAAGCAAATTTGAGATATGAGCATCAGATTCCTTGTTGGGTATTCTTCTTCGTAGGGACCTGGATTGTTAACTGCTTTTTGTCTGTTATTGGGTGTTGGCCTATGCATTGGATTTTATTACCATGTTGATGTTATTGTTAATAATTGATGTTTCATCATGTTCTTAATTGATATCATTCTCTAGCTTGACTAGGTTTTATTGTTATGTCGGTAGTTTTTGCTGGTTTTGAGTGCAAACATTTGCGATTAGTCCTGATTGATAATTTTGCATTCAGAATGTTAAAAAGAAGTGGTTTATAAATTTTGATGTTCAATGATAGTCGTCGATAATGTCTGATGACGGTGAGCAGTGGCCAGCGACGGGGGACTTTGATCGAACTTATAGGTTAAATTGATATGGATCTAAAGTTTAAGGATCAAATTAGTATTGTATCTAAAGTTCATGGGTCAAATTAAAAAGGCTTATATAAAAATAAGTGTCTAGAATATACTGAAAATTGACTTTTGATGCCTAAAGAATTTTTCGTTAAAATTAGGATCATAATGTTTTCTCTATTACACTTTTACGTTCAATTTAAAAAATATATTTTTTAAATAATATTTTATTTATCAAAAAATAATATATATATATATATAAATGTGACACATGTCACTTTACGCTTTTTTCTAATAGTATGTACCTAAAAGTGTAACAGAGAAAACATAAGTCACCTATTTTTAAAAAAAAAATCTTTAAGCACCAAAAGTCAATTTTAAGAATAATTAAGACACTTATTTTTATATTAAGCCGAATAAAAATTGAATCGTTTTACTAATGTGTCACGTAATCCAATTAATCGTAATTAACGTCTCAATGACTAAAACTCTATAAATCAATAAAATAACCAAAACGATAACTTAAGTGACCAAAACATTAATTCTTTAATTTTGGTGAATAAAAATGAATACTTGAAAAACTAAATTGTCCATTTTGATAGTTTACCCTAAAAGTAAACATGGTGAATTATTTTCTAGATTGATTTGGAAGGGTCATGTTAGGGGTGTAAACGAGCCGAGTCGAGTTCAAGTATTGCTGAGCTCGACTCGACTCGAAAAATCTGAAATGGAGCTCGACTTGATTCGAAAACTCGCGAGCTTAAAATTTTTAAGCTCGACTCGAACTCGAAATCTTGAACAGAAGCTTGTGAGCAGCTCGAAAAGGCTCGAAATGAAAAAAAAAATATCTTAAACTTAACTAGATTAAAGTCTCAAACTCGAACCTTAAATACGTGAAAGTCATACTATATTTTTAAAAAAAAAATCAACACATAAATGTTAATATTATTAATAATTTGTTTTAAAAAAAATAAAATCTTAATATATTATATTTTCGAGATACTCACGAGCTTTTCGAGTCGAGTATCAAGTAGCTCGTTTCGGCTCATTAAGAATTCGAGTCGAGATCGAGCTCGAGTTGAGTCCATTCGATCCGAGTATTTATCGAGCTTTGACCGAGTCAATTTCGAGTAGCTCGCGATTTGCCTCGTCTCATTTACGGTCCTAGTCATGTGGCAGCTTTAGGAGCAAAAGTGGCGTGGGTTAGAATTTGTTTCTTGAAAGCTGGGGTGTATGGGCTGCGGAACTTGGTTGTTTGGAATAAAGTTTGTGTTTTGCAATTGATGAGAACAATTCTCGCTAATAAAAATTATGTGGATTGCGTAGGTTCATGAATATGTTAATTGGGATAGAGCCCTTTGGATTATGGAGGCTTCCATGTCAATGAGTTGGAGCTTGCGAAAAATCATTGCGCTTTCTCCATTGAGGGCGACCGGTAGATATCATGGTGGTGCATCAACAAGGACGATACGAGAGGGAATCAGGTTGAAAATGGAAAGAGTGGGCTGGCACAAGTTGGTCTGGTTCCCAAATCATTATCTGGTTAGATTTTTTAGGGTTTAGGGTTTAGGGTTAGAATGCATTCAATCTATTGTTAGTATGAAGTTTACAGGAAAGTGTACAGAGGTCAGATAGAGTAAATATACAGTTTGTGTTTAGGTTGGAATATTGAATGGGGTGTAGTGAATTTTGTTTTTCTAGTAGTTTATCTATTTTTATTTTTATTTTTTTTGAAATTATTAAAGAAATTTATCCAAAAAAAATATGGTGAATTATATTCTGGAAACACAGGTGCCCAGTTGATTTGATTTTTTCTTATGTTCTTGTACACATGCAACAATGAAAGACGCCAACCTTTTGATGTGTTTATTAGCATTCTCAGATTTATAAGCCAGAATATGAAACGCATGATCTTCATCTTCAACATCAATCCACTCCAGCTCCCCTTGCCACCCACTGTCCTTCACTGCATTATAATACAAAATCCCTCTGTCCCTCAATGGATCCTTCTCGGCAACACTGATAAGAAGCCTCGAACATCCAAGTCCGGCCAAGCTCGGAGCTCCGGGAGCCACCGGATTCATCATCGGATTATCGACACCTCCGGGCGCCTCCGGATACACCAAGTGCCACACGGTGGACATTAACACCTTCTCCCGTTTTTCAACATCCTTCGACTCGGACCCTATTGGCTTGGAACCCCAGAAGTAAGGGTGTGTTAGAAAAGCTCCTTTGATTTTAACACCATTACGTAAGCCCTCCGATCCAGCTCGAATCAGTATGCTATGAGCAATGTTGGAACCGGAGCTGTCGCCGCCGATGTAAACACGATCGAAATCGGCGTAAGTAGAAACCCAAGGCTCCTCATCGGAATGAGAAACAACCCATTGAAGAGCCGACCAGCAATCGTGATAAGCAATGGGGAGAGGGTGTTCAGGGGCCAGCCTATACTCGATCGACACAACAACGGCGTTGGCTAAACGAGCCAATCGGTTCATGAACTTGGTTTCGACGAAAGAGAAAGCTGACTCGATGCAGAAGGCTCCGCCATGGAAGTAAACCAAAATGGGAACCTTTTTGTGTTGTTGAAATACCTGTTTTGGAAGGTAGATTCGAGCTGAGATTGGAGGGTCTTGTGAGACGATGATGTCCTTTGATGAGACGCCGGTTTCGGGATCATCGGCACAAGGCGGAACAATGGGTGAGCCAGCGAATCGCTTGACGGAGCCATCTTTGTAAACTCGGAGGAAAGGGAGGATCTCGGTGGCCACTTCCTTGCCATTGGAACCCATATTCAAACTGTTATATATATGTTCTTAAAACCGCTTGCCTTTTGTAAAATGTTTTCTTTTGCAGTTTTGCTCGTAACCTGGACCCTATGGTACGAAATTTATAAACCGCTTGCGTTTGAGCAAGCCGGCCAAAGTTAAGCTTGCTTAAACATTTCAATAAACTATTGGAAACAGAAATCTAATGTAGTACTTTTACAACGCAAATAGAACTATTCTCATACTTAAATTGAGTATGGTTCACCCCATACCCCAGGCTTACCTCAATTAGGGTTGAAAACATGTTGAGTCGAGTTCAAGTATAGTGGAATTCGACTCAAAAAATTCAAAATTGAGTTTAACTTAACTTGAAAGTCAATCACCTTAAAATTGTTAAGCTCGAATAGATCTCAAAAAGTTTAGAATTGAGTTTAACTCAACTCTTATGCTCGCAAACTTAAAGTCGTTAAGCTTGACTCTGAATAAAAAATCTCAACTCAAGTTCAAAATAACTTGAATTTGAAATATTCCCATACTTAGCTCGATTGAAACTCGAACTTGAACCTTAAATATATGAAAATCTTTTATATATATATAAGTTTAATATTGTTAATAATTTAATTTTAAAAAGTTAAAATATAATATATTATTTTTTGAGTTACTCGTAAACTTTTCAAATTGGATATCATGTAGCTCACTTCAACTCCTTAAGAATTCAAGTTGATTTCGAGCTCGAGTCCAATCCATTCGACTCGAGTGTCAATCAAATCAAACTGGAATAGTTTGCAATCTATCTTTTCTCATTTACAGCCATATCCTCAATCACAGGATATCCTAATAGAATCCCTCTCTGACTTGGATTGCATCTAGGGATGACAACGGGTCGGGTTGGGTCGGGTTTTTGGTTGACCTAATTCGACTATATCCGATAAAAAAATGATTAGTTAAAAATAATAATTTTTAAAAAAAATTACATTATTATCATCGAATCCGATCCCGTTGGATCAAAAGTTTTCGCTCTCTATTAGAACCCGACTCAACCCGATCTCAATCCCCTAAAAATTTAATTTGAACCTCATTTTTTTCTAAAAGAATCTAAACTTATCAAATTAGATTGGATTAAAACCCGTCAATTTCAAGTTAAATTAAAATACCTAATTTTGTCTACCGTCGTCTTTGATCATTTCTCGTTCAAACACTTAGGGTGTGTTTGTTTACCGTAATTGGAATTACAGAATTGGTTTTCCCCGAAATCCCGTGTTTATTTCATGTAATTCGTTTTCCGGAAAATGTTTTCCCATGTTTGTTTCACGTAATTCATTTTCCGGAACGTAATTCATTTTCCTAGTAACAGAATTTCCTTTGTGTTTTCTGTAAAATGACTTACAGATTCATTTTCATTAAATAATTTTCTGAACTTTTCACTTCAAAGCAAAAATACTCAAAATAATTTTATTTTATGAATTTACTATTAATAAAATATTTTAATATCATTTTCATCAAAATATTAATTATTAAAATATTTAAAATAGATTTATTAATATTTATAATAATATAAATATAATATTATATTTTTAATATTATATAAAATAATCAATTATATTATAATAATATAAGATATTATATTTTTATTTTAATAATATATAATAATTTTTTTTATTTAATAATGAATAATTTTATTTATATATTTAAATAATATTTTAGTAAAGATATTTAAAATATAATTTATAATTTATAATTAATATAACACTTTTACTTTAATATTAAGTTTTATGATAAATAATATTATTTATTATATTTATTATTTATTATATTTAATATTTATAATAAATAATTTTTTAAAAACTATTCAACTAGTAGAAAAAATGTTTAAATAACATCTTCCAAACATCATAAAACGTTTTCCAGATGTTTTCCAGAAATATAATTCATTTTCCAGAATTCAAATTCCAGTAATTTATTTTCCAGTAATTCAAATTCCAGTAATTCATTTTTTTGAAAAATCAATTTCAACCAAACAAACAGACCCTTAGTCTTATCCAAATTTCACTCACTATTAATATCTAATTATTAGAAATAAAGGATAATATATTTGTAGTCATCGTCTCCAATTATAGTTTACGTATTTGTTATTACAACTTGACAACAAATCTCCTCCACTGTCAACTACCATCAATTATTTATTAGGGTAAATTATATATTTATAATCTAAATTATTTGTTTTGGTTGGTTTAGTATTTATATTTATAATTTTTTAAAATTTTATCTAATGTTTAGTTTTTATTTCATTTTAATACTATGTTGTTAAAAATTTAACGCGTTTAATACTTGAACTATCATTTTTGGCCCATTTTAGTACTTAAACTTTCAATCTTTCAAAACTTAACCCTAGACTTTGAACGAGGCACTAAAATGAAATAAAAACTAAACTTTAAATCTAATTTTAAAAAATTAAAAGTTTAAATACTAAAATAAATTAAAACTAATAGTTTAGATACTAAATACATAATTTATACTATTTAGTATTTAAATTCCTACCCAGACTTTCGATCGTTTAGGTAAAGAGATATGACAGGTATTTTTAATTTAAAATCTTTTATTTTTAACATTTAATTTCATTCTTTAATTATTCTATATTTTTTAACTATATTAAAAATAACAGGGTAAATTATGCGTTTTGTAACATCCTCAATACTGGGTTAGTGACTAAATTGTAAAGTTACTGAATTTGGCGCTTAAAGTAGGTATAATTGACATGCCAAGAGTCGAGGGATTATCAGTGGTCCTTCGGGACATAGTGATCATTCGGGATATAGTGGTCCTTCGGGACAAATATTCAGTGCCCCTAGTGGGATTTTATTCTAGTTGTGGTGACAACATTGTGCACAATCTCAGTGTACTCACGTACCTTCTGTTCTCAATAATGTACATGAGCATCCAAAGATAAGTTGAATGAAAAACTCTTAAAAACGTAAATGTTCATTCTTACATATCATATTCTTATATGTCATAGTGTTGTATCTACATGTGCTTTGTAATGTCATAATGAATTGATAGTAGTATATATTTAGGATTCTATTGTTAAGTATTTATTATTATGCCTCACTAAGTCTGTGACTTAGCGTGTAAGTGATTTACACGTAGGTACCAAGAATCAAGAAGAGCAGAAATAGGAGTGGCAAAGACAACAATACTACTAGAAGATCAGATCAGAAGTAACTGATAAAGTATGTATTTTGTCGTATATAGTGTGTTGGCATGTAAGAAATATGTTAGTTACGGATGCTCTGATCGGTTTTGTCTTGTTTTGGTCAACTTTTGTAAAGTAACAATGTTATTTTAATGAAAGTTTAAAATTTCTTTGGTTTTCTTTAAGAGTCAAAGTTTGAAAAGTCAATGTAACGCCTCAAACTCGTATCCGGGTCGGGTAACGGGTTGGGGGTGTTACACGTTTAGTGCCTAAACTATCAATTTTGGTCCATTTTAGTACATAAACTTATAATTTTTCAAAATCATACATAAAGTTTAGTTTTTGTTTCATTTTAGTACTCCCGTTAAAAACTTAACGTTAAATTTTGATTTTTTTTAAAGTTTAGGAATTAAAACGGATCAAAACGGATAGTTTGGATATTAAATGTGTTAATTTTTTAACATAGGTGTACTAAAATGAAACAAAAACAAAATATTAGGTATGATTTGGAAAAAAATAAAAGTTTAGATATCAAAATGGACAAAACTGATAGTTGAAATACTAAATGTGAAGTTTACCCAAATGATAATAACAACTAATAAAAATATAACATGTGGCATTTTGACCAAGTCTGACTTTGATGAGAAAAATAATATTTTTATTTTTAAAGTTTCCATTCAGTTTAATCTCAAACAAGAAAATTATTGTTCACAAGTTCCTATCCTCTAAACAATTCAAGAACATTCATCAGTTTGAATATGGGCAAGGAAATAGCCACCGAGATCCTCCCTTACATCCGCGTTTACAAAGACGGCTCCGTCGAACGGTTGGCGGATTCTCCCATCGTTCCGCCTTGTGCCGATGACCCTGAAACCGGCGTTTCATCAAAAGACATCGTCATCTCACAAGACCCACCAATCTCAGCTCGGATCTATATTCCAAAACAGGTACGTCAACACTACCGACACCCGAAAGTTCCAATTTTAGTTTACTTCCACGGCGGAGCCTTCTGCTCCGAGTCGGCTTTCTCTTTCGTCGAAACCAAGTTCATGAACCGCTTGGCTTCTTTAGCCAACGTCGTTATTGTATCGATCGAGTACAGGCTGGCCCCCGAACACCCTCTCCCCATTTGTTATCACGATTGCTGGGCCGGTCTTCAATGGGTTATTTCTCATTCCGACGAGGAGCACTGGGTTTCTACTTACGCCGATTTCGACCGCGTTTACATCGGCGGCGACAGCGCCGGTGCCAACATCGCTCACAGCGTACTGATTCGAGCTGGATCGAAGGGCTTTAGGAACGGTGTTAAAATCAAAGGAGCTTTTCTAACACACCCTTACTTCTGGGGTTCCGAACCGATAGGGTACGAGTCGAAGTATGTTGAAAATCGAGAGGAGGTGGTAATGTCCACCGTGTGGCACCTGGTGTATCCGGAGGCGGCCGGGGGTGTCGATAATCCGATGTTGAATCCGGTGGCCCCCGGAGCTCCGAACTTGGCCGGAATGGGATGTTCGAGGCTGCTCGTTAGTGTTGCTGAGAAGGATTGGGTGAGGGATAGAGGGATTTTGTATCATAATGCAGTGAAGGAAAGTGGGTGGCAAGGGGAATCGGAGTTGGTTGACGTTGAAGGTGAAGATCATTCGTTTCATATTCTGCTTCATAAGTCCGAGAATGCTAAGAAATTCATCAAACGCTTGGCTTCTTTCCTCGTTCCATGTGAGGAAGATGAAAAGAACTCAATTCAAGTACGCTCTTGTGCCTCTAGAATATAATTCACCATATAGCTTTTACTATAGTTTTAAGTTCGATAGAGTAAATCTACGCTTTTTGTTTTCCCTATCGTTTGAGATGATTATATCCTTTCAGAATTATTATTAATTTAAATAGTAAATAAATTATCATATTTTAGTTTTTAAATTTTTGGAAATTATATAGAGTTTAGTTTTTGTTTCATCTTAATACATTGTTTAAATTTAATGTTAAGTTTTAAAAAATAAAAGTTTAATTATTAAAATGAATCAAAACTGATAGTTTAAGTATTAAATATATTGAATTTTTAATGGTAGATTATTAAAATGAAACAAAATTAAATGACGTACATAGTTTTGAAAAAAAAATTAAAAGTTTAGATACTAAAACATTTCAAAATTAATGATTTAATACTAAATGCATAATTTATCCGGCCATTTAATGTTAACTTTAAGTTAATTTAATTTAATTGGAACAAGAATAAATAAATTTTATTTAAATAAAGTATCTAAAATGAAATGATATGTTTCGTATTTATATGATGTATTATTGAGGTGTCTTCTTCATGGTCCCCTCCCAGTCCCCACGATATCGACCGATCCTACCATGCATCACATTTAATTCAAATTTTTTAATTTTCAAGGCCGATTCTTAGTAAAATTAAAAAAAAATATTAATCGAGATTAATGGGTTTCAATCTTATTTTATTTAAATAAATAAAATGTTAAAATAATTAATTTTAACTCGAGTGGTACCACACTTGTAAGTAGGGTTGAGCAACGAAACCGAGAAAACTGAAAAACCGACACGAACAGGGTTAAACGGTTCGGTTCGGTTCAGTTTGACTTTATATGGTTTGGTTTTCGAATTAGTTTAAAGTCTCAATTCTATTGATTCGGTTCAGGTTTTCCATATGGAACCCATTTGTTCCATATTGAACTGAATAGACAATTTTTTTTAAAAAATTTATAGTTTCAAGTGAATTTTTCATTAAAAAATTGAACTGAACCAAAAAAATTGAACCGTTAAAAAAATCGAACCGAACCAAAAAAATCAATTTCACATAATATACTTTCAAGTGAATTTTATTGTTATCTTTATTCTCTTTTATTTTTTAAGTTATAGGTTTTCAAACCCATTAGAAACGCTATCTTTTCTTTTCCTAAAGTCTCTCCTTCCCTTAGTATAGATTAGATTTAAAATTTATTTAAAAAAATCGATAATATTTGTGGAAAGTGAATTGTATGCTTAGCAAACGATTACATTTTTTTATTTAATATTTTAGCTTTAATATTAATAATACAAAAAAATAAAATTGAATGTTAAAATTTGGGATAGATTATCTATTTATTAACTAAACTATTAGTTTTGGACTTTTAATATCTAAACTTTCAATTTTTTTAAAAACATATATAATGTTTAGTTTTAGTTCTACCTCGTCGTTAAAAACTTTGATGGGTGATTTGCACATGGCACATTTTTTATGGATAAATTGTATAATTCATTACTCAACTATCTTCTCACTCCTATTTTGGTTAATAAAGTTTAATTTTTTAATTTAACTACTTACCTTTCAAATTACTCCTAATTTAATCACCCTAACTTTCAAATTTAATTTTTATTTTTAATTATATATTAATAAAATAATAATAAAAATGTCATGTCACAAAATTATTAATAAAATAAATTAGAGTAATTAAAAAAGGAGTAATTTGAAAGTTGAGTAGTTAAAATGAAATTTTTTAAACTTTAGTACAAAAATAGGAGTGAGAAGATAATTGAGTGATGAATGATGTAATTTACCCATAAAAGCAGTGTTGTTAAGGTTTACAGATTGAACTATTTTGCTCATTTTGTTGTTAACTCTCTAACGGTGTGATGACATGGCACAAGCATCAAAATGATATCATTTTGAAAAACTAAAATGTACACCAAAACGACATCGTTTCAAATCCTCTTCTTTCCCCTCATTTTTTTTCTCTTCTCTACCACCGACCACCACATCATTTTTCATTTCGGCCACTGTCTACCGTTGTTGATAGTGGTCGTTTGGTCTCAAAATTCATGGGCCAGCTCATCTCAACCCTTTGATTCCAAATTTGGTGGTTGTTTCAAAGGAAAATGCCCCAAAATTTGTAAATCTTCAAAATTTGTAAATCTTGATTCAAATGTTTCGGCTTCCTCACTTTTAATCTCTAATTCATGGACTTCGTAGTAAGTTTCGATAAAATGGAGGTTGGATTCCGACTCAAGGTGTTGAGGTAAAGTGATCCACTAAATTTGGGATCGAACGGCCGCCATCTACAATGGTCGATGGTGGCCGACGGTGACATCCAACCACCTTATGATTTTATTTTATAGTTGGGTGAGCAAAATATGAGAGAGAATAAAGTTCAGTGAGGAACAATGTAATTTATCCTATATATTTTCAATTCTTTTTATATTAAATAATAATAAAAAATGACACATTATCACACCTTTAGAGAGTCAATAGCAATAGCAGAGTGAGAAAAATGATTTAATCTGTAAAGTTTAGTGAGCAAAATAGAAAAATTGAAAGTATAATAACTAAAATAGGAGAGAGTAAAGCTCAGTGAGAATGTGTAATTTACCCTAAAATGTATAGTTTACTACTGTTTTAGGATAAAGTTGAAAATTGATAATTTATTCAAAGGTTGACGCGAGCTTCAACTTCGGCCGGCTTGTTCGAAGGGTTTTATAAATTGCGTATCGTAGGGTTCACGTTCCTCTCCTTTCCACCGAGTAAAACTGCAAATCTTTTTCGCCATTTTGTTCATTTTGTTTCTTTTTCCATTCTTGTTCACCAGTTCCCCTCTAATCACTTCTAAGTACATATATCAGTTCGAATATGGGCTCCAATGGCAAGGAAGTAGCCACCGAGATCCTCCCTTACATCCGGGCTTACAAAGATGGTTCAGTCGAGCGATTGACCGGCTCTCCCATCGTTCCGCCTTGTGCCGATGACCCTGAGACCGGCGTCTCATCGAAAGACATCATCGTCTCACAAGACCCACCAATCTCAGCTCGAATCTACCTCCCAAAACAGATACTTGACCACCACCAACACCGAAAGGTTCCCGTTTTGGTTTACTTCCACGGTTGAGGCTTTTGCTTCTCGTCGGCTTTCTCTTTCTTCGAAACCAAGTTCATGAACCTCTTGGCTCGTTCAGCCAACGCTGTTATCTTGTCGGTCGAGTATAGGCTGGCCCCTGAACACCCTCTCCCCATTGCTTAACACGACTGCTGGGCCGGTCTTCAATGGGTTGTTTCTCATTCCAACGCTGATTCCAACAACGAGCCTTGGGTTTCTACTTATGATGATTTCGACTGTCTTTACATCGGCGGGCTTGAAATAATCCGAGATGAAGGATGTCAAAATCAAAGGAGCTTTGCTAACACACCCTTACTTCTGGGGTTCCAAGCCAGTCGGGTCCGAGATGAAGGATGTTGAAGAACGAGATAAGGTGGTAATGTCCACCATGTGGCACTTGGCGTATCCGGAAGCGCCCGGGGGTGTTTAAAATAATCGGATGATGAATCCGGTGGCTCCCGGAGCTCCGAGCTTGGCCGGACTCGGATGTTCGAGGCTGCTTGTTAGTGTCGCCGGCGAGGATTTGTTGAGGGACAGAAGGATATCGTATTATAATGCAGTGAAGGAGAGTGGGTGGCAAGGGGAATCGGAATTGGTTGTTGTTGACGGTGAAATCCATGCGTTTCATATCGATGTTTATGATTCTGAGAATGCTATGAAACACATCGAACGGCTGGCGTCTTTCCTTATTCAGTGTGTAGGACATCAAGCATATTTGCCCTTTTTTATGTTATGTTTGTTGTCTTACCAAAAAGGAATACGAGTATATGACCATACTTCTATATTAATGGAATCTGATTCTCTTATCTCAGAAATGATCATCCAGCTCAGTTGATAGAGCACAAGGTTCTTAACCTTGAGGTCGTGGGATCGAGTCCCACGGAGGGCATTTCATAATTCGGAGGTCTCTTACGGAAACTGCTCTCAACCTGATGTTGGGGGTAACCTACTATCTTACCTCCTTCTCACCCCATACATATGGGAAAAGGGACAGCCATTTGATTCTCTTATCTCAAATTTGTTTGATCATTCTGAACGTGTATTATCTTGCATTTACTTTAGATTTAAATAAATAAATTCAATCGGAAGAATTTATATTGTATACAAATGGTCTCTGACTACGGGTATTGTTTTATTAATTCTCTCGATTATTAAAAAATATAAAATGATCATTCGACTATAGAGCGTTATTTTGTTGCGTCCCTCGACTACTAAAAGTTGCAAAATAGTTATCTGACGATTCATTGTGTTACAAACTCATTCTTTTTCGTTAAGAAATTGACGGTATTCCGAGTTAAACGTTAATATGTTGATTGTGATATGATAAAATATTATCTCAAAATCCCAAACCACTATTATATTTCAGTATCATGTTAACAATCAACTTAGAGAGCTGTCAATATTTTAACGAAAAAAGATGAGTTAAGAACATAATGAATAATCGGTTGATCATTTTGTAACTTTTAATAATCAAATACCTTAATTAACTTGTATACTTTATTATCTTGTATTCACTCTAAATTTATAAATAGAATTAAATTCAATAAGAAGAATTCAGATTGTAGACAACATATGATCAAGAATTGAATTGAGATTTAAATTGAGTTTGTAGATTCAAATAAAGTTGGATAAATTATGTAATATTAATGATTAACCAATAACCAATTAGTTTAATTACATGGGATATTTAAGTCTTTAAATAAAATTAAATATCTAAATCATGATATTAAAGTTTGAATCATAAGGGCCAGGCATACCTTTCTTCTATAAATTATGCAATAAAATTTTACAGACGAAATCTGGATAAACTACGCATTGAGTACCTAAACTATTAGCTTTAATCCATTTGGTACACAAACTTATAATTTTTCTAAAACCATGCCTAATATTTAATTTTATTTTCATTTTAATACGTCATTAAAAACTTAACACATTTAGTACATAAACTATCAATTTTGATTCATTTTAGTACATAAACTTTTAAATT